AAAATGTTTTATTTTAATGTTATTTTCTAAATATAATTTCAATATATACCATTATTTTAATGAAATTTATCAATGTTATGATGTTTAAAAAAAAAAAAATCGTCGAAAATTTTTCCGATTTTGGAATTAAAAAGTTTCTATAGAAACTAATCTTAAAATCTTCAAAATGTGGAAAAGTCGTCAAATTTAGAACCACTTAATAAAAGAATTCCCATCCCCAAAAGCGAAAATTTGTTTAAGAGCTCTTTAATTAAAAGAATTAAATTTCACATTTTCAATGGTAGCTTCTTTTAATTAAAGAATTCTCTTTACTTACAAACTCAAGTATCCCATCATTTATATTAGAAGTAGAAACAAATTAGAACTCATGAACCCATTCAAAAGATAACCATATATACGGCAGTGAATCGCCAAATATATTCCTCAAAATGCTAATTTACACTGAAAATGACAGTAGTAAAAACAGACAGAAATTTCAGATTATTAAAATTAAGGACCTTCTGCTCATTTTGGCCAAAATTAAGGACCAAAAATCGAATCCAAAAAATCTAAGGACTTTTAAGGACTCTTAAGGACCATACGAACCCTGAATTTATTCAAGAAAGTTCTGGTTTAGAAATTACTCATTATTAATCTCGAAAATATACATTTGTATTACATGTACCAACTTGTGAAATCATAAAGTGAATAATATTTATTACAGTTTCTGTTTAGAACAAATGTATTGCTAGACGAAGTTAAACATTACCATCTCATTTAACAACCTTGCATTTACATTAAACTTTGATTAAAAAAATTAATTTTAAAATTATTCAAAATATTACTATTTTGCAAAGAAATATCAATTTAAGAATCAGCTTCATTGATTTACAGCAATGAAATTATGCATTCTTTTTCTCCTCCAAAAAGACATGTTATCACAGTGTAACAGGTTTAAACCTAGAATTATGAACTAAGAAGTGCAGTCATAACTGCTCCGAAGGAAGTTCACATTCATTTTATCAAGCTCATTACTTTTACAAAAACACATACATATCACTTTTAGCCTTTTACAGATGCATTCTCAAGAATAAAACATGCATATATATATTACAAGAGTACAGAAATATTAATTATAATTTGATAAAACTTTTTGAGCTCCATTCCAAGTACTCTTAGAAATTAAGTATATTTCAAATTGGGATGGAGTCAGATAATAGGTCCTTATCTTAATATACATAAAGAATACCATTTATTATTAATTTCCTTCTTTTTCATTAATGCAAGACATAAGCCATTTTACCCAGTGATGTACAGGGTAAAATGTAATGTAATATACATAAAGTAATATTTTATTTTTATAAATTTTATCAGCATCATGTATAATTATATACCATCATCAATAATCAGAAAATACAAGTCTCTAGTCTTATTTATTAGTCTAACGTATAGCAATACTTTCCACTTCTTCATATATAAACTGAATGTAAAAGATAGATTTACTTTACACAACATTACAACGTATTCTGAAACTTATGAGTGAAGACAGAGTTAAAGTTCTCTTACAATGTATTGAGTCATCTAGAAAGTTCAGCAGATTTTTAAATTAAAGCATGTTTTCTTCCAATTTTTAGGTTACTGCTGATGAGAAATGACCTTTCCCAAAGCAAATGCTTAAATACAGTCTTTTCTGCTCATGTCGCATAATTCTAGAATGTGTTCTGGCATAATAATTTTTTTTCTCGGTGCAGTGCTAAGGATGAAATATCCAAAAGTATTTTTGTCATAGTATGCTCTTTTATTTTAGAGAAGAAAGAAAAGAAACAAAATGCAGAGCCGATTGCTCATAAATTTTGTGCTATAATATGGAAAAAGTGCTGTTTTCGATGACCCACTTCGAAGGTGGTTTGAAAACTTAAAGCATGAAAATTTCAACCTTGAAGATGATCATTCTCTGTAAACAAGGGTCTATTAAAAGAAGCTACCATTGAAAATCCAAGTTATGCAGTTCAGGAACAATTAGCCAGAATAAACATTCCTAAAGGTACAGTACGTGATTATATGAAGAGGAACATGTAGGTAAGCAGCTACGATATATGGTACAATCAAAAGTCTTTAATCCGGACTCGTCGAGACTAAGGCGATTCCGGATTATAGATCATCAGTTTAAATCTGGTAAGATGGCATGCAGAAATTATAAAATTAAAAATATGAAAACGTAACTTATGAAATAAACAGCAATTATGATCTAAAGGGTATCAAAATTTACAAAAAAAAAAAGAATTTTTATTTGTTTACTTTATTAAACTTTTCTTTCAGCACGCACATGCGTAAAGCATACATTACGCATAGTTGAAATTAGAAAATTGCAACCAGAAAACTATTTGATGTGTATTCGTGATATTCATAATGACGAGGAATTTTGATTTAAATCATATCAAAGACGGAGTACATCGAGATGAAAATACTACACTTAGTAAGGAATTATAAGCCCAATAAAATAAAAACCATCTGCCCTGAAAGATAAGCGAATAGTGACAGATCAACTTCCAGTTCATTGCGCGCCGCGACGCTTTTTCCTCCGCAGAGCAGCGTGAAATTGATAAACAGATTTCGGAATGGTCAGAGAAACAAAGGATATGCCTTATTCATTTTTTGCAGCAATTCCACTTTTTGTTTGATGGACATCGAAACATGCTTTCGCTTTGTAGATCCTTTGGCAGCTCAAGAATCGGAAATTCTTTTTGACAGAATCGAAAGTTCAAGCTTACTTTTATAAAATTGCTCTAACAGTCTGCAAAAAATAATAAGCCGATCCAATTAGAAGATTAAGGAACAACACAGTCTGCAACATTAACTGAAATAGATAATTAGATCATTTGAGCTTAGCTTATACCGTCCATTATACATTAAAAGCGCATGCGTAAACGTATCATGCGCATGCGCAAACGTATTATGTGCATGCGTAAAGGTATTACGTGCATGTCTAAATGCATATGCACATGCGTAAACACATTAATGCGTTTACGCATGCGCAGAAAGTTTGTAGCTTTAAGGTCTGGATTATGGATGTCCGGATTAAAGACTTTTGACTGGAGCTTATGCTTTAGCAGAGCAGAATTGCTTGCTCTGGTTTGAGCATATGATTCTTTGTTGAAAAGGAATGAAGAAGCTCTTTTATGAAAATACCCAGTACTGAAGATGAGATGTGAATATTATACAATAATGTTAAAAAAGTCATAGGGAAAGCCAAAGAACATCTTTTATTAGTAATATTTGAGGGAAGGCACATCCAAAAATGCATATATGGTGTATGATCAGACTACAGAGGCATTGTATAATATGAATTGTTGCCACTAAAAATTTGGAAAAATACTGCTCCCAAATGGCAGCTCCAAAAGCAGAAATCAAAGCAAAGCATCCAAAACTCACCAATCTTTAAGGTGTTGTCTTCCATCATGACAATACTTGGTACCACATTCCAATAAATGTCAAACAAAGACGTTATTGATTATGGCTAGGATATTTTGTGTTACACCTTGTATTTATTTACCAGACCTTGCCATCTTGGATTTTCATTTCTTTAGGTCACTTCAAAATTCTCTGAATAGCCTGGAGTTGTTGTTTTTGAAGACCTTCAAACAGCTTCTCAATAACTTTTACGAATAAACCTAATGACTTTTTTAAAAAAGGAGTTTCCTAGTTTCTGGAGAGATGGCAAAAAGTCACAGAACAAAATTATGCTTATGTGATTCAATGAAATTTTCTTATGTTTCTGTACTGCTTCATTTATATTTATCATAAAAAAACAGAACTTTCCAGATGATAGTATACATACATTAAATATGCACAAGAAGAAAACACATGAAAGCATATAAAATTTTAAATTGAAAATAGTTTTATAACATTTCCATAACAGCTGGCAATGTAGTACAGTACAAAGTCCGTAATCCGGATTTGTCAGGACTTTGGATTATAGAACATCAATTTAAATCTGGTAAGATGGCAGCAGAAATTATACAATTAAAACTATGAAACCGTAATTTATGAAATAAAGAGCAATTATAATCTAAAGGGAACAAACAAAAAAAAAATATATTATTTGTTTATTTTATGAAACATTTCTTTCAATGTAAGTTGTTTAAGTTGCTTCATTTTTTGTGCTAAACATGCATGCGTAAACATTAAATGAGCATGCGTAAAGCATACAAAAAGAAAAAGTTTATGGCTTTGAGGTCCGAATTATAGATCATTCCGGATAATGGACGTCCGGATTACAGACTTTGTACTGTATATGAATTATAAAGAAAAACCTTACACCTATTTACAAGTAGTAAAAAGACTGCATATCAAGATTTCTTGAGAACACATTAAAAAAAATTACATATGTTTGAAGAGGAAAGAAAAAAATACCTAGCTTTTTTTAATAGATATATTTAAAGTATAATAAATAATGGCCACTTTCTATAAAGAGGACACACTTAATAACATTCAATATACAAATTGAATTAAAAACTACAAAATTATTAACTTGTATAACAATGTAACAAAGACTAAGAACTATAATTTTACTACTAATAATAATTAAATTAAAATGGAAAATAAAGAAATTGCTTCATTCTGTGTATAACAAATATCTTAAATTATTATCTTATAAATAAGAAGAAATTAAAATGCATTTATGAAAAATAATTGAGAAAGATATTTTATTGCATAAATATCCCAAATTTTAAAAACATATTTTCGGATAAGAAATATTTCGGGAAATAAAAGAACTGATGTGTATGATCAGACTACAGAGGCATTGTATAATATGAATTGTTGCCACTAAAAATTTGGAAAAATACTGCTCCCAAATGGCAGCTCCAAAAGCAGAAATCAAAGCAAAGCATCCAAAAGTGGCAGTGGCAAAAAGCATCAGTTTTTAATAATATATACGTTAGAAACACAAAATCTCAGATAGAAAAGTGAAGGAAGAATTTACTATTGTATAATTATAAAAGCAGCAAGTAACTGTTATATTATTTTTAATTTTTGAATCTTTATTGATAACTCAATAAAAAGCAATCACAAAGTATTACTAAAATATACATAGCAAGATCTGATTATTCTTGGAAAATTTACATAAAGTTAGAAAGTATTAAGTAAAGAAAATTTAGAACATTACTATGAAATTACTGGGTTAGTGGAAATTAGGTATACTACTTGCTAAATATAATAATGTAGTAGTTTCAGATGTCTGAAAGAGAGCAGGTGTTAGTTGCTGCAATATCTCAGTACCTGACACTGGTATATCTGGAAGAGGAACAGAAGCAATATCAACTGCTACTGCAGCATCAACTGCCGGATTTAGAGGCTGGACTGCAGATGAACTTGGAATGCTAACTACAGGTGCAACAGGCTCAGAATAACAAGTTTTCAAGCTACTTAAAGCATTTTCTAATTCATTATTTATACTAGTATCTGGCACAGTAGCTTTTGGAATCTGGTTGCCTTTTACAGAATGTATTTTTTGATGTCGCTTTAGTGCATATAAGGTGTTAAATTTTTTGGAACATGAATCACAAGAGTAAGCACGAGGATTCCGATGAATACTTAAAACATGTTTCCTCTGCACAGACCTAGTTTTGAAAGAGGCTCCACAAATTTCACATAAAAATGAACGAATCTCAGAGTGCACAGCTTGATGTTCAAACAAATGAGATTGTGATCGAAATGTTTTTTCACATGCATTGCATTTATAATTTGCATTTTCTGCAAGTCTCATTTCAGAATGAGTTTGGTGATGTTGCTGCAAAGCATCACCTCTTTTAAAAGCTTTTCCACACAAATGACAAAGATACGGTCTTTTATCACCATGAACATTATTAACATGTCTCACAAAATGCTCTTTGCGATGAGTTTTATAACAACACTGTTCACACTGATGAAGAAAATTTCTTTTTGAACAATGCATACGCTGATGCCTATCATAATAATGCTGCTTTGTTGTTTGATAACTACAATGAGGACAGCTCAAAATCTAAAAAGAAAGAAATAATTTCTCAGATAAATATTAAACATTCAAATTTTTAAAAATTTGTCTTGATAAAAAAAAAGTAAAATAAAAATGATTCTACAGGATAATTAGTCATGCTGGCTATTTCTCATCAGCGTAAATGACAGCAGTAAAACTTAGCAACAGCTTATTACATTATTACTTAGAATATATTTATTTCAATGATACCCATTTTCTAGCAGATTTGCTATGGCCAAAGACCAACACTGGCCCCAAATGAGGGAATAAGAAAAATAACTTTCACTTTACTTTAATATTTTTCATTCCTATTATGGTATAACTTTTAAAATCTTTTTAAAAAATATTTTAAAAGTTATACCACAATAGAAATGAAATCAGTACTATCATTTGTACATAAACAGAAATCTCTATGAAGATTTCTAACAATAAATAAAAAGTGAAAAAAAATAATAACTTTAGAATCAATATCTCAAAGAAAAGAGCCCCCCGGAAAAAAAAAAAAGGCTGAAACAGTTATATAACATACTGACACAGAAATATCTTTGACTGCAAAGAGACATGTTCATAAAAATCACTAGATGGGTTTTTATAAAGGAACTAGATATATTATTAAAAAATAAAAGTATGATTTAAATTATACAAAAATGCATTATTAGTTTTGAATTACTTCATCTGTTAATCAATAACAAATTGATTAAATTTGAATGACACATTGGAAGTGTTAAGTTTGTTAAATGACAACTCTCTGATACTTTATAAAGATAAATTTTACATTAAAACTAAAAACAATACACCTTTGAGGTGCAAAATTTTAAATATATGAAACGTTATACAAGTACTTTGCTTTTCTTGAATAATACTCATTATTATCTACTCACAAAACTAAATCTTTACTTTAGGAAAAAAATTAAAAACTTAAGAATTAGAACTTTAAAAAATTTCCTCCCCCCTCTGAATTTGTTTTAAAATGTAAAGTGGTATAAAGAGAACAATACCAACATATCAAATTATATTACTGCCTGAACAAATTAAAAACAGGAACATACAATGAATGAAGTGTGCAATTTATATGTTTATACAAAGTTCTGTTGTGATCTTTGCATATTTTTCAAGATACAATAATTGTAGGGTTATCTGCCCAAGAGAATGGAGGATTTTCTTGGGAAAATTGACTTGCAATCATGTTACCCAAGAGGAACACCATGAAAATGCCTATGCAGCTAGCCAGTTTGGCCATGATCAGAATATGAGTCAAGCTTATGGTCTTATTCACTCAGCCACTTTTAAAAAATACATGTTGCTATATATTGTATATATTGTTAAGAAAACTGAATAAATAACTTTTCAAATGATTAACTTACAAGATAATAAGTGATTCATTTTTATATTATTAAAAAAAAAGGACAAATATTATGCATCACTAATTGACAATAGAATCTTTTTATAAGCGACATTATTTTATTTCAGAGTGAAAACAATAAACCTTTCAAAGAGATTTACTTCCACAGTGTTCAACAAAGAATGTGATCATAAGCAGTTTTTCAAAATTTTAAAAAGTCACAGGAAATTGATGTACAAATGGCGATCTTAAAAGTATGTCCTGTTTTTTTTTACTTTTACTTAATCAAAACATACATACTAAGTCATGATATAATTGTTAACAGATGCATTTTACACCAGCATGATCATTAGTTATTCCCAGTATATTATTATTACGAATGCCCATAAAGATTTTTCATAAAGCTGTCTTCCCTCAATTACGAAAAGCAATTAATGTGGTTTCCTCTTTGAGAATATTTTTATCATTATATTGTTGCAATCTATGGGTTTGTGGATGTCTCTTTAGATAATCCCTTCAGATGCACAGGAAAGAAACTGACAATTTATTACAAATGATAATGGCTCACAGCAAAATAGCTGTTCTGATATCAAGGAGAATGTAAATATTAAGCAAATCCTCCATATTACATGAGAAATATTTTAGGTTCCTAATATTGCTCTCAGAGTATAAAGTGCAATTCAGCCAATTTTTCCTAAATTCCAATCTTTCATATCTAAGTAAAAACTGTCTCCTTTTGGTTCTTGGAGTCGTATTTATATGGTTTAAATGGGTTTTTGTAAAAATCAGTCCTACGGCTTAAAAAACTTCATTTTCCTGATACTTACAGAGTAACCAAAATAAAAAAATCACAAGTGTCACTCAATTTGTCAAAAAAAATGATCACCAAGACTCATTAGGAATGCATTAGCCCACACTACTGCAGATTCAGTATAAACCAAAAAATTCCAGGCATTACTGAAAAGGGGAACATCTGGGATAAAAGACAGATGGAACTTGAGAGAGAGAGAGCAGCACAATGCTTAGGTCGTGTTCTGAAGATTAAGCAATTATTTAATTCTTCCTTTTTTTTCCACCCAAAATGTATAAAATATTTATTGCATTGTGTAAGGAACAGAAGCCAAGACTGAATGGCATCTAAAGAAAAGGTAATATGCATGTTTTATGAAACACTGAGCTACCTGATTTAAGAGATTAATTTAGTTTAAGAAGCTGCTACCTACATACTGTTTTCTAGTTGATCTATTTGAACAATTTAAATGTTGTTATATTCAAAATTAAACTATTTACAATTCTGTATAATAAAATAAGGACTCGTGTAAAAAATATGTTGCCACAAATTAAAATTATACAAAAATACACATTAAAATTACTGTATTTGATGTCATATAAGACGCACCCTTATTTAGAAGGCCACACACAAGGGAAAAAAGTTTCAATAGTCTGCGCTGTCACTCGGTACCACAATAACTTATAATGTGGTTTCTTTTAGTTCTCACATTTCGTAAAAGCCAAATAAACAAACATTGAATGCAATTACCAAGCATATTTTTATTAAGGAAAATTAACACACGGCAAGCTATTTTGAACATGATATGTAAATTTCAATAATGAATAAATGGCAAGCAATCAAACATAATACAAAATAAAGCAGGAACAACCAAAAACACAGATTCAAGGAAAACGTTGCCTATCATGAAATTAGACTTTAATCACTTTCAAAACCATAAAAATCCTTTTCACTATCATCATCATCAAAAACAAGAATATTGTCATCACTACTGTTTCCGTTATTGCTAGTATCACCTTCTTCGAATAATGCATCGTCTTCTGTTCTGTCAACAGCATTACTGATTCCGCACTTCTTAAAGGACTTAACAATTTACTTCAGCCCTTACGTCCTCCCATGATCTTTTTACTCACTCGCAAACTTGTGAAATAGAGGGCCGCTTCATTCTACCTGAGGGTGTGATGTGGCTCTTCTATCCACTTGTTCCATCGTTCTTGCACTTTTTCCTTAAATGGCTTATTCACCAATACATCTAAAGGCTGCAATTGGCTAGTCAGTCCACCAGGAATGACAGCTATCTGGGTTTTTAATTCTCTCGCTTTATTCTTTATGGTTTCAGTTCTATGGGCGCTAAACTGATCCAAAACCAAAAGAGACGAAGAGTCCACCAGGTCGCCTCGTCCATATGTTCTGTAACCACAGTTTCATTCCAGCTTCGTCCATCCAGCCTTTCGGATGAACATGAACAATTACACACGTTGGAAGTTTTTCTTTCGGATGAGTTTTTCTTTTGAATATGAAAAATGGTGGTAGTTTTGTGCCATCAGCACATGTTAGAACTACTGTATACAGGGTTTTTTCATGACCTGTGGTTTCTATGGTTATTGATTTAGACCCTTTAATACTCACAGTCTTGTTGGATAATACATCAAATGCAAGTGGAATTTTGTCCATATTTCCTATCTGACCGTGCTCAAAAGAAGTTTTCTTGCGTGCATTTATAACAAACCTATGAAATGCTAGTATTTTTTCTTCATAATCTGCTGGCATTTTCTGTGCAAATAGTTTTTTTTGGGCGCATTGATAAGCCTTGCCTTTTCATGAACCTGTAGCACCAGCCCTCAGACCCTGAAAAGTTCTGACTCCCATGTTTTTCTGCAAATCCTTTGGCCTTATTGATTATCATTTTGGTTGAAACACTTATCCCAGATTTCCTCTTATCTATCACCCACATATTTACGGCATTTTCAAGTTCAGGCCAAGATGGAGCTGTGCATCGAAGGTTATGTTTTTGTTTTTTAGCAGTCTTCAGCTGATCTTCCTGCAGTCGCCAAGTACGTATAATTTTTTCGGTAGGTGGTGGACCGAAATGCCTTGCTGCTGCTTTGTTTCCATGCACTTTGACGTAGTTTAACACTCCTACTTTATACTGAATTGTATAGCTTAATCTCTTGTTTACTGTAATATTTTCTTTAAACAAATAGTTTTAAGCACCGATACCAACACGTTTATACAGAGTAGCACCAATACCGTCACATGTGTTGGCTGAGTCAAAGAAAGTCTATGTAAAGAAAGAAAGGCTCCATAGACGTAATGTGACCGTCGAACCTGTTCGAACTTCGACATCAGCTTCGAGCTTTGGCGCTTTTTGGCAACAGATATTTCATGCATGCGCAAAATAATTATGGCAGATGTAGAAAAAGTTATGTGTGTCTAGACCTTTATCCGGGCTAAAAATAGCATTCAGTATTGAAAATTAACCTGTGTCCTTCACGTATAAGACGCAGGTAACTTTTTTGAGACCAAATTTAGGGAAAAAAAATGCATCGTATATGCCATCAAATACAGTATTACTATACATGCAAAAATTAAGCAACATACTATATCATAAAAATACACATCCCTCCCCTCCCCCCCCAAAAAAACCCGAAGGATTTAAATAGAGAAATTTAGAAAAATATTTATTTTATTTATATAATAGAGGTAGATTTTCATAAATTTTTAACTATAAAATTTAATGTATAACTATTATATCACTAAACCCTCTGGTTTTTCATGAGATTTTTAGAACCCAGGTTACATACAAGAGGAACTATGCTTTCATTGTATGAGGACCTCTCACTGGCAAACAAGGCATTACTGCAGTAAATGCATTGTAAATTATGCTGCAATGCATTGTAGATGCAATGAATTATCATAGCAATAATCTGTGCATAATGAACTATCAAGCAATGATGCAATGTTCCTTTTTACCATAAACAAGAGTAGTTGTTAAACATAGTAGTTTGGTAATTTACTAAGCAAAACATTCAGTAGCTACAATCAGATGCATTAAATGTGTAATATGTCATTTAAGCATGCATTTTGAACATCTGAACTCATTTTAAAAAGCAATGTTAATTTTCAATGAGGAATTCATCATCTTTACAGATTCAAAATATTAACATAATTTTAATGCTCCGGAATGGGAATATAAAAAGCATTTTTACAACAAAGGAACAAAATAATAAAATAGCAGTCAAAGAAATAAGGTCATTGGTTTAAAAATTATGTCCGTGAGAGCTGTATTTGGGAAGAGAAAAAAACCTTTATTACTAGAATACAGTCAATCTCAGACATTTTCCTATGGCTAATAGTGATCTTCTATATCAGCAAAATTAGATTGCAACTCTACAGTCCTTGAAATCTTACCCAAAACATGGATAAAATTTCTCGTATATGAAGCATGTGTAAAGGCATGTAGTTTCTCTGTGCAAAATGCCTGACAAAATTCAAACCTTGTCATACATAAGTTTTATACCTAGTTCCTGCTACAATAATAATAATTTTAAACAATTATTTTCACACCAGTATTTAATTACAATTGCTTAATAATAATACTGATGTAATATAAAGATGATAGCAATTATTGTATAAAAATTCAATTCAGAAATAAAATGGGATTAAAAAAAATTAATACAGGATTTTACTTACTAATGATGAATTTTTGTCATTTTGATAACCTCGATGTTTCAATTTAATATGTCGCAGGAGAAATTTAATATCATCTGTTTTATAGTGACATTCAGAACATGTATGAACCGTTGTACTGTGTGTCATTTCATGCCTACGTAAATGGCTCAGACGAACTGATTTAAAAGGACACTGACTACATTTATACAATGTATTCACCTGAAACAAAATATTTTCATGAGAAAAAACAAAAAGCATTATTTAAATACTGCAAGGAAATAAAACATTTTGGCATTTAAAGTTTTAATAAAAATTTTCTAACATTTATTATTTTAAATGAAATAATATATCATATTTAGAATTTTAAAAATGCACATCCATGTTAATGTAAATACAGTCAAAAGTCGTTAACCCGGACTCGTCGGAACTTCGGCAATTCCGGATTATAGAACATCAGTTTAAATCTAGTAAGATGGCATGCAGAAATTATAAAATTAAAAATATGAAATCGTAATTTATGAAATAAAGAACAATTATGGTTTAAAGGGTATTACAAAAAAGAAAGCTTAATATTTATTTGTTTACTTTATTAAACATTTCTTTCAATGTAAGTTGTTTAAGTTGCTTCATTTCATGTGACAATACTTTCTCTTTAATTCTATAAACAGACATAATTTTTTTTTCAGTTACAAAGTTCTGCTGTTCAAGTCCTATAATTGCTGTGTCGAGAATACCGACTAATTTGTCAATCGAAATTTTTTCGTTTTCAATAACCTCTTCACTATTGGAAGTGAATTATAATGACGAGGAATATCATTTAAATCATATCAAAGACGGAGTACATCGAGTTGAAATACTACATTTAGTAAGGAATTATAAGCCAAATAAAATAAAAACATCTGCCCTGAAGATAAGGATAGCGCTGACAGATCAACTTCCAATTCATTGTGCGCCGCAGCAGCGTTTCCCCTCCCCCGGCCGCAGAGCAGCGTGAAATTGATAAACAGGTGTTTCAGAATGGTTAGAGAAACAAACCTTTATCCATTTTTTGCAGCAATTCCACTTTTTGTTTAATGGACTTCGAAACATACTTTCACATTGTAAATCCTTTACATATTAGTAAATATATATCAGAAATTCTATTTGACATAATCGAAAGTTCAAGCTTACTTTTATAAAATTGCTCTAACAGTCTGCAAAAAATAATAAGCCGGATCCAATTCGAAGATTAAGGAACAACACAATCTGAAACATTAACCGATTTAGATAATTTTAGCTTAGCTTATACTGTCCGTACATTAAACACGCATGTGTAAACATATTATGCGCATGCGCACACGCATATTCGCAGCCGTAAAGATCTTACGCGCATGCGCAGTAAGTTTATAGCTTTGAGGTCCGGATTATAGATCATTCTGGATTATGGGTGTCCGAATTAACGACTTTTGACTGTAATAAGCAGCATCAGCACACAGATTTTAAATGAAATTTTTATGAAAATTAATTTTCTCACTCAAATTTAATAAAAATTTTGATAACAATCTGCAATTATTATACACTGATAAATTTTTTAACCTGTTTCGTTCAATTAATGCAATTAAAAAGTACTAATAGCTTTTATATATACTATTCTTCAAGTTTCTTAATTACTGCATTTGTTCATGTAAGTAAGAAAGCTGGTCAACTTCCTAATCATGGAATGCTTTTAAACTGCTTATGAGCTACCCATCTGCTGAATTATTACTTTATGTTTTTCCAAGCCACTAATAAGAAAAAAAAATATGCTAATGAATTAACAAGGTTGTTGTTGGAAGCTAATAAAGAATTTTATTATTAATTTTTACAAAGGTAAACTTTCTAACATTATTTTATATTTTAAGTTCAAAAAAGATTCCCTGATAGCTGATAAATTATACTCATTATAAAAATATTTAAAATATAAAAGTATGGCATAGCATGCATTGACTAGATAACGGCTTATCGCAACTTTTTTTCAAAACATATTTAGGCACTTTTCTGTTTCGCTGCTGCAAATCTCGCCAAGCAGACTTTATTGGCGACAATATACAGTATACACATAAAATTTTTTAACAAATAATGCTTCTACGATTTTTTTTTATTTTAAAGGCATAAACATTTTAATATCGCTTAAAATTTTGTAAAAAGCCAATAAATAAAGACAAATTTGTAAAAAGATATTAATTTAAGAATTTACTATGCTTTCATCCTGTTTCGCCGGTTAATATCATGTGATCCCATCTCACGTAAACTACACTACAAAAATCCAATTCGCTCAGTAATTATCTACATAATTTCAAGTTAAATCTTGATTTGGCATACAAGTTTAAATGCAAGAATTATTTCAATTCGTATGAATAGCTTACTCAGAAATTATGTACAACCGCAGTGCTTTACTTCGCTAGTGCATTCTCATTAGAATTGATGAATTTAACCCTTGACTTTGCCTTTTCTATATTTTCGCCTTCGGGTGAGCGGTGTGATTGCATCCTAATTGACTTAATTATCGCGAATGGCCCTAAGGCATAAAGTTGAACTATTTGGTAAAAATTCTACAGTCAAATGTCGTTAACCCGGACTCGTCGGAACTTCGGCAATTCCGGATTATAGAACATCAGTTTAAATCTAGTAAGATGGCATGCAGAAATTATAAAATTAAAAATATGAAATCGTAATTTATGAAATAAAGAACAATTATGGTTTAAAGGATATTACAAAAAAGAAAGCTTAATATTTATTTGTTTACTTTATTAAACATTTCTTTCAATGTAAGTTGTTTAAGTTGCTTCATTTCATGTGACAATACTTTCTCTTTAATTCTATAAACAGACATAATATTTTTTTTCAGTTACAAAGTTCCGCTGTTCAAGTCCTATAATTGCTGTGTCGAGAATACCGACTAATTTGTCAATCGAAATTTTTTCGTTTTCAATAACCTCTTCACTATCGGAAGTGAATTATAATGACGAGGAATTTGATTTAAATCACATCAAAGACGGAGTACATCGAGTTGAAATACTACACTTAGTAAGGAATTATAAGACAAATAAAATAAAAACATCTGCCCTGAAGATAAGGATAGCACTGACAGATCAACTTCCAATTCATTGCGTGCCAGGGCGTTTCCCCTCCCCCCGCCGCAGAGCAGCATGAAATTGATAAACAGATTTCGGAATGGTTAGAGAATAAAAGGATATGCCTTTATCCATTTTTTGCAGCAATTCCACTTTTTGTTTGAATGGACTTCGAAACATACTTTCACGCTTTGTAGAATCCTTTACATATTAGTAAATAGTACATATTGGAAATTCTATTTGACATAATCGAAAAGTTCAAGCTTACTTTTATAAAATTGCTCTAACAGTCTGCAAAAAATAATAAGCCGGATCCAATTCGAAGATTAAGGAACAACGCAATATGCAACATTAACTGATTTAGATAATTTTAACAGAGCTTATACCGTTCGTTATACATTAAACGTGCATTCGTAAACGTATTTTGCGCACGAGCACACGCATATTCGCTGCCGTAAAGGTCTTATGTGCATGCGTCGAGACAGTGCATGCGCAGAAAGTTTGTAGCTTTGAGGTCCAGATTATAGATCATTCCGGATTATGGGTGTCCGAATTAACGACTTTTGACTGTATCTAATTGTATGCTAGTATTGGAAGAAACAATCAATCTGATAAGAAATGGCTACGACTTGTTTTGAAAATGAGGCGTAAAAGGCTATCTGTGAGGATATTCCGTTTGGAATCAGTTGTACCATTATTGGCGACTTTATTGCCTGCGCCGGGAAAACAGAAAAGTGCCTAACTTTAAAATTTCAATAAAAGCAAATAGCATTAATATTCATAAAATTCTCTGCCATACACCTTAGGAAAGTTAAAATTTTTATTTACTTAAGTGACAGATGCTACAGTTATATACAGGTTAAAAATTATTATGATAATTATAATCTTTTAATTGTTATACAATTTTTGAAAAATTAGGAAAAATACACAAATCGTTTTCTTTCTTTTAATAAAATCTTTTATTATATCACGTTTGGCTATATCTTTAACCCCTTCGCGCCGACTGTCACGTACACGCGCCAGCAACGAACACACTTATCTACCGGCCGACACGCAGACGTGCCAGAGCATTGTTGCGTTTACTACCGACTGTCACGTATTTGTGTCAGTACCCTGGAACGTTTTTCAAACTATAATTTCTGCCACAAGATGGCACTGTATGTCCATATGGTTTCAGATACATGTACATTAGACCTTCTACTAGAAATGAGAGAAGCATGACTCACATACACGTGTTTTTGATTATATAAACAAACGGGGAACTAAATGTTTCCGAATGGCGTGATTTATGATGTCTCTTTAAATCGCACTTTATTCGCACGTGGTAGTTGTTTATTGTAAGTAGAAGTTTTTTATATGCGCTAAAGCGTTGAGTATTTCGGTTTGCAGTTCAGTTTTTTAGAAAATAATTAGATCTTGTTAGACGTGAATTCTTTCTGTTTTTACCGTTTCAATGTTGAAGCGTCGAAAATGTTTAACAGAGCACGAAATAGCAGAAATGATGCAAAATATTTCAGATATTGATTCTGAAAGATTAACTGAAAGACATTTTCCAAAACTTTGTTCAGAAGAGACTGATAAGAAAATGAGATGACGATGCTTTGTTTGTTCACATTCCCGGAAAAATCCTCCAAAACGGCAAATGAGTTATTACGAGTTCAAGGAATGTAACGTAGGACTGTGTGTAGATCCCTGTTTTAAAATTTTTCATACGAAAAGAGAATTTTAAGTAATATATTTAGTTTTCAGATGTATAATGTTTAAAACTCATAAAATGGTGAGTAATTAAAATAAAATGTGTAAAATATGCATTTAAACAAGAAATAAGGTAATTAAAGTATATATATAAAAATATCTATAAAGCATAAGCCGTTTAAATACTCTATAGAGCATTATTAAACAATGCGTTGATACTTCGGAAATTTCATGGATTTAGGCTGAGTAGCAAAAAAGCCCCCGGCCCTGGAGAGATGCTCACCGAAGACACTGCCGGCCTCCGCAATAAGCGTGCGTTTTCGCTACCCAGCTCGAAGGGGTTAAACGTATTTTTCATGAATAAATTTTCTTTTAACCTAAAATAATATAATGAACTAATACTGATATAAAACAACAGTACCAACAGCTACATTTAACTTCTCATTTGAAATGTTGTGTGCTGGAATGAAGTCATCGCTGTTCGCAGAAAATAAAGAAATTTAAATAATAAGTTAAATGTTGCTTAAAAAAAAAAAAAAAAAAAAAAAAAAAGCTTGATTTTCTCGCTTTTTTTTAACAGTTCATACTATGTATTTACAAATATATTTGCTATAAGGTAATTGATAATTATGCAGAATTTAAGAAAAACTGTTTAGTTCATAGCTGTTCACTTCTTTCTTGTTAAGATACCATACCAACACTTCTTCAGTGCTATACTTTTGCATCTTCCTTGGTTTTCAGTCTGTTCATATCATGTGGGGGGGGGGAATCACACATATCTCAGTTACTTATGTTTATCTTAATACTATATGAGGGGTGTTTAAATGAAAAGGTATGAAGTATTGTAACAACCAAAACGGTTGAAATTTTAATATGCCACTATGAGATAACGTAGTGAGACATCTAGGGACACAAATGTAGTGTAAGGGCTGCTAGTGTGCATGCCTGGGCACCCGCACATGATGCAGGAGAGTTTGGTTTCGTTTATTTGACAACAGAAGAGATGCCTTCGTGGAGGACTTTCTAAGGCAAACTGTCTCATATACACGTTACGCACGAAGAAAGCCACGAAAACTGCGTTGTAGCCAGCCTGCTCATATAATTATTTGTTAAAGTTTGCCTAACATTTTTTAAGATGAAAAAGTTAAAAAAAATTTTTGACTTCTAATCAGTAGTATTTTAAATTTTCAGGAATTACACTCTGCAAAACCTTTCAGTTTTTTTGCTTTAAGTTTCCATTGCATATTAGATGAATAATACTTATATTAAGCAAGTTTAATGGCAGGTTTTGTCATTTAACCAGAAATTACTCAAGTACAATAATTGAATAAGACCCATTTTCAAATTTTGCTTACATATGCTGTCCCAGAAGAAATGAAAAAAAATTCAAGATCAATTATGTTTTAAATTTAATTTGAGCAATGCATTGCATAAAGATGACTATAAATATATTTCTACAATTCAAAATATAAAAAAATCAATTGAAAGGTTTTAAATATAAATCTTAAAATGTGTGATCGTAAGCAAAAAATGCCTGTCCCTTTCAAGTTCATGTTATTCAACCTCTTTGTTTTGTAACTAAATTTATTTTTTTAAATAAAGAAGTTTAATTATTTTAAATATGAACTATTAATAAGTTATATTCATGATAAAAATTAATTACAGAAGTTTTTTTTCTTTAACAAATCAATAGAAAAATAATTTGTCTTCCACTTTGTCAAAATTAGTTTGTAAATCTGTCTAAAAGGGGCAGTACATATTCAATGACATAGATAAACTAGTCAAGCTAAGTTTGACTGCTCTGAATATGTGCTGTCCCTCTTTAGGAGATTTACAAACTAATTGTGGGTAAAATAAACTCAAGATAACGGACTTGACATGAAGTGAAAAACAAATGATTTTTATCGATTTGCTACATTTTTACCTAACAATTTTCAATTGATTTTTTTAATATTTTAAATTGTAGAAATATATTTATAGCCATTTTATGCAATGCATTGCTCAAATTAAACTTTAAATATTAATTTTCTTTCCTTTCTTCTGGGACAGCATATGTAAGCAAAATTTGAAAATGGGCCATAACTTTTAAGAAACTTTTTAACAAATTCCGTGCAATTATTAAAATGTATTCTAATATTAAAAAACTGTTTCTGTTTTTCTTTATATTTAACATAATTCATAAAAGAAGCAAAAAAGAGAAAAAACATACTTTTTCATGTATTGCCATATGTTTACTGAAGTGACTACTTCGTTTAGTTTTAAACGAACAAAGTTCACAGAAATGTTTGTAGGGAGAAGCAGCTTCATAGTCTTTTTCTTTACATGGGGTACTATCGGAAGATTTGTTATTTTTAACATCTGGTTCAGCAGAGTCAAAGTCAGATTCTTCAGTTGCTAATTTCATCTGCTGCAAATTCTCGCTCAAACCATCAGAATCATGTCTGAGAATACTAAGAGGTCTCAAAGGTTTATTTCGAAGAATTGATTTTTTCTTTAGTGTCCGTAGCTGCAAAGCCAATCTAGCAGATCTTGTCTTTTGACTAACTCTAGGTCTTTCTTTTAATATAAAACGTAGTTTCTTCGATAAAGGTTTTAACTTCAATGTCTTAACACTGCTTTCTGTATTAGTACTAACATAACCATTAGATGATGCATTAGTTTCTCGTTCTTTATCATCAGAAAGGCAAGATGTCTTGTCTGTACCTTCTTTATCATATGATGTATTACCTTCATCTGCTAAACTGCTGTTTTCTTCTGATAAGGTAGTGCTATCATGCTCGCTGGATTCTTTGGCTAATCTCTTTATATGCAAACTGTTCATAAGTTCTTCAAGCTTATTTTTTGCTATTAATATGCCATCTAAAGTTCCATACAAATGGTACTGAATCTCATTTTCAGCAGTGACTTGTTCAACACTGGCAGTCAGAACACACTGTTTTACAGTGTCCATTACACATCCTTCAATAGCACTTACAACATTAGAAGAAAGTATAGCTCTTACTTCAGAGTAAATCTAGGAGACAAAAAACACACATAAACTTTCACTAAAAATTCAGTTTAAAACAGCACATAAAAATATAAATTCTGAGAGATTACTTTAATAACTATAAATTCATAAAAATATAAATTCTGAGAGATTACTTTAATAACTATAAATTACACACAAAACAATAAAAATAATGTTACAGAAACTACCATGAAAGAAAACGTCCAAGCACAAGTTGCATATGGCATTTGGGCCAGGGGGGAGGGGGACCAAACAAAATATATACAGAAATAACAAAAAACATTACAAAAATAAAGTTAAATATACTAAAATAACATTAATTCCCCACATACTGTTTCTCATTTACATTCATTTTTTGCAAACAGTTCTTGGTAGTTACATGCCTGCAATTCGTGTTAATAGGTTTCAAAGTATATTTTATATCTTATATACTGGTGCCACATAAATTGTGTTAGGTGACTGTATGAAATTGTGTTAAATGCTGCCAAGTCACACCTAGTATCTTTCAAGAAAAAAAGTATTTTACCTTGCTACAGTACATATAAAAATGGTCACGAAATGCATCTATGTATCAATGATGAAATGATTTATGCATGTTAAAAATAATGGGAAGTAGAAAGGCATTCATGTTAAAAATTGCCTCTGTGGTTCCCAGCTAACTTTTTCTATTAGTGTTGTGATTCATTTTCTTTTAGGCAGAACTTAAGTTCATTAAATAGTTTAAAAAAGAGATGAAAATGTGTGAAATAACCGATGGCAGGCACAGCTATGTTGTCTATCTGAGGTGTTTAGTTTTCAACTGATCAACTTTGGCAATTAATAATGGAAGCAAAAATTTAATTTATGATAGCCAATGAGACAAAAATATCATAAATTTACATTGTAAACAATGTAAATTCATAATTAAAGGTGTACAAATTTATAAAAAATGTGAAAATACACAACAATCAGAAAGTGCTCTAAGCAATGACATAAAAAATTAATCATCAAATCGAAATCTAATCCAAAAGCTCCAACTCCTCAATACAGAACAATTGCGTCTGACATGCAGACCATTAATAAGCAAACATAAACAAGGTAAAGTACTCTCAGAAACGTCAGAAAACTGCACAAATTTGGAAAAACCTATTATCACTAAAAAAGTCAAAGATTTGAATAAATTCAGAAAAAGCTATTATTAGAATTACTTAAGAACAGATGATGAGCAACAGTCACAAAAATTACTGCTGAATTTTGAAAATTAACTTCTGCATTGGCATAGTGTGCACAACCATTTGTGGGTTGTCTAGTTTGGCAACACTGCATATTGCATTGGGTATTCTTCTCATGGTTGGATGTCTAATCAGAGAGTAACATAAACAATCTCAATTTTAATTCCACTTTTTCAATAAAAACACCTGTACTTTTTTGGGATATACCGTATTTGACGGCATATAAGACACACTTTTTTTCCTAAATTTGGTCTCAAAAAAGTTACTTGTGTCTATGCTATTTTTAGCCCGGATAAAGGTCTAGAACACATAACTTTTTTTACATCTACATGTGTGTGGCCTTCTAAATAAGGGTGCGTCTTATATGCCGTCAAATACGGTAGTTCAGAATGATTCAATTACAGTTCATTTATAATGATCTAAAATGCCTAACAATTTCCTTCAAGCTTAACACTAAAACTACTGATCCATCAAAACAGATGCAGGATAGCTGTTACCATTCTAATATTAAATATGGGGACTTTGAGTAGTGGTTGCGACCCGGGCTGTGGAGTCTGAGTCGGAGTCATGCATATTTTGGGGTAAAAGGAGTTGGAGCTGGAGTTGGTAAAAACAGGTCGACTCCGACTCCAGTTTTTTGTTGCACAGTTTGAATTTTAAATGAAATTAAAATGAATTGAAAAAAATTAATGAAAAGCTGAGTTATTATTTTTATTTATGGACTGTATACATTAATAAATAGTTATTTTCTATTTTATTGACATATTAATAAATAAATATAAGAGTGGAGGATGGATGTGATATATTCCATTAGTGATTAAACTGATTCATTTAGTTACAAATCTTTGGTAAATTTAGGCAAACAGCAATAGCAGCAAGAACTCCCAAAATTGATGCCATTCTTAGGAAGCAAGCAGGAAAAGAAGCAATTATTGATCAAGCAACGCAATAAGGAAGTACATATTTGATGATAAAGATGTTTTTAGAACTAAGAACTTTTTCAGAAGATGTGGATAACCCTAATGTTTCATTAACACAAAGCCTGTGAAATGATCTTGCAGAATTGGAGAATGGAAGAACGGGATGTTTGTTCTTTCTCAAATGGAGGGTCTATTGCAGAAGGAATTATTTCTATGAAGAAAAGAGAAACTAGTTTGCTAGACAATGAGATCTTGACGAGTGCAATATATGTAGATCTAATGCAATGAATTTTCTTGGATCACAAACAAATTAAAAAGGCAAAGAAAGCCATCTATGAACTATCACTAAGAATGAAATTATTCTCAGAACATTGGAGAATTCGAATCAGGAGAGTCAAACTGCAGACATTGCAATTTGTCTCTATCATCCTCTTCCAGTGATGAATTAGATTTTGAGAAAATTTTTGGATAATATTGAAAAGGCTAAGGCAAAGCGAATGAAAATAAAGAGCCAAGAACCTTTAGATATAAAAATGAAAAAAATACAAACAAAATTTCTACACAGCCTTTGAAGAAATAGAGAAATATGATTGCACTTGCAAGATACCTCTTTTAAAACAAATAAAAATCTATCCTGAAAAGTTAAAAGAAGTAAAGCCCTAAAAGTAATAGCTCTTCCTCCTACTCAAGTTGTGTGGAAAGACTCTTCTCAGCTATACTATTTCTTAGAAATAACTAATACCAATTTTTCCATTTCATAATAAATGCTAATTAATATAAATAATTTCCTATGGCATTTATTTTTTTTTTCTGTAGCATCTATTAGTTCTTTTATATTAAAAAAATAAGCTTAACCCATGTGTATATGTTTACATATATATGAGGGAGTCGGTCATTTTCCTTACCGACTCCACAGCCCTGGTTGCGAAATAAGAATATTTCAAAATGCCTCTCACACGTAACTTGAAACACGTTCTTGAAAGAGAGAAGCACCCATATTTTATTTCACTTTAGAGATAAGACATAAAAGTAAATTAATGGCTGTCCGAAAGCATAATGTAACACTTCTGGTTCAAATATATCACCATCTTAGTCAAAGAATCCCTGCGATTGAGACACCACCATAGTCATTGTTAACAGCACTTTTAGCAGACAAGGATTGCTCTGGTTTAAAAAACATTCATTTCTGTGCTCAAGATATGAAATACTCTTATGAGAAATAAAAAGCTTATAGCAGAATAACATGCAATTTTTTTCACAGTGTGAAATAATTTGCTGTCAGAATGCACAGTACATGGCAACGGCCATCATATGTGACTATAGTCTTTTAACCCCAGTTTGGGTAACAATTACATCAGCAAATTATTTATTTAGCAGTATCCTTTTGTACGCACAAATGCAACAACTGCTTTAGTAATTTATTTACATTTATAATGCAAAATGTTTTTCAGGGAATGAAAAAGACTCATGTGACACAGCACCATTTTCTATTGGTCTACATGCCCAATAGCAAATATTACCTATTCGTACAGCAGTATTCAAGTGCCTTCTTTTTGTATCTCACACTGGAAGCTAAGTGATATTGGGTTTTAACACAAGTTTCCCACCACCACAAATATAGTCTGCGCAAACAGATCACACTGGCGTGTTTAATCCATGGAGGTAGGAAGTAAGGAGAGGCTCCGACCGGTTTTCCCCATACACTGCTTTGAAGCACTGTCGATTTCTTTATGGTGACCAAAACATTCAGTGTCTTACCATTAAGATCAATGGGTTTTGACACGATCATATGTAAATAGTTTGTAATTATGTCATAAATATATGTATAAATGTATATACTTTCTTTTTCTACAATATTTCAGAGTCCTATGTATGTGAAAAGAATACATTTTTAAACAACATTTCATTCTGAATGGAATTAAATGCCAGAACAGTTTGCTCAGAACTGTTTACTTTGAATGAAATATTTTCACAAATTTTCATTAATTACATTAGAAAAAATTTTTAACGTAACTCGATTTTATTTGGTTTAGGATTATAAAAATTAAGATAAAAGTTTACTGTATTATTGATATTAAAATTATGCACTATTTCTTTTCCATTTATAGAGCTTCTTCCTAAAATACTTTCTCAAATATGACATGATTTTTTAGTTTCTGAGGCATCTTTTAAATCAAAAAATCTAAGTCAATTTATAATTAATGCTCTATCCGATACATTTTAAATTATAGCACCTTTTATTTTAATAGTGAAATACTTTAAATATTGGTGCTTATTTCCATGTACTTAACTTTCTCTGAATATTTCTAAAAGGGAAGGGGAAAGGGAATTTTTTTTAAATATTCAAAACTTTTGAATTACTATAAAATGTAAGGGAACATTTCTTTTAATTATACTTATCAGATTGTTTTAACCCTTAATTTCAACAATACATATTCTAAAACTCTTCTTTATTACTTCTTTAAGTACGCATCTCATAGAATTTGCTTTACAATACCTTCTAAGAGATTGCTTTTCAGTTTGAACAATTTTTGCTTAAATAGTTTTATAAACATATTTGTCAACAGGATTTCAAATTATGTTTGCAATTCAATGTTAAGGTTATTTATTTATTTAGATAATATTTATAATCATTATAAATTTAGATGCATTTAATAATTAAGACTGCTTCAAAGTAGTTTATGAATAAAGCCTTCCTTTCAAATACATTTATAAATAATTTTTAAAATATTTACGTATATTGTTAAAGGCAGATATATGCTTTTTGCAAGCATATACATACACATATAAATTTCATATTTTTCATTTCTGGCATGTGCAAATCTTTAAATTTCTGTGCATTCACTATATTTTTTGAGTACAGTAATTTACAATA